GAAAACAATTGAGCATATCAATTCAGATCTTCAAGACTGGAGAGGATGCCTTCTAAAGGAAGTGCTAATTATTTGTTGACAGTGATTGATAATATCTCCAGAAAAACTTGGATATTTTTCTCGAAACAAAAGAGTGATGTGTTTGCTACCTTCAAAGAATGGAAAACTATGATTGAGAAGTAAATTGGGAGCGAGTAAAATGCCTATGTATAGATAATAGGTTTTGAGTTTTACCTCGTAGAGATTCTTGTAAAATTGAACAACTGAATTAAAATACTTAGGTAATGTTGGAAATTAGTTTAGAAATTAAATTAGAAGCTTCTGATAAGTCTAGTTCAAATTTGAAGGACAGTAGTACTTTGCCTCCACCACCATCAACATTGCAGTATTCAATAGCAAAGGATAGATCTGGCAGAGAGATTAAACCTCCATAAAAATATAGAGAAATAGACTTCTTAGCTTATGCATTGAACATGATCGACAATATTGATTCCATTGAAGAGCATGCCACATACTCATGGTTTTAGAAAATGGTTGATAGTCATGCAAAAAAGATGGAGTCACTTAATAAAAATAGCACATGGGACTTGGTGAATTTATCCAAGGAGAAGAAGGTTGTTCACTGGAAATGGGTGGTCAAAAGAAAGGAATGTACATCAAGAATTGAAGAGGCCAAGTACAGCTAGTTCCAGGTGTTGACTTTGTAGATGCGTTTTCACCGGTTATAAAGCATAGCTTAATTCAAGCTTTGCTTGGGGTTGTTTTTAAGGATGACTTGGTGCTTAAGTAGATAAATGTCAAAACAACATTCTTATATGGAAAACTTTAAGATAACATTTATATGCAACAACTAGAGGCATTCATGGTTATTGGAAAAGAAAACTATGCATGCTTGTTGTAGAAGTCCTTATATGAATTGAAGCAATCACCAATGCAGTCTCATAAGAGGTTCGATTCGTTCATGACCACTTATAAATTTATCAAAAGCAATTATCATAGTTAAGTATACTGAAGAAAGTATGATAATTATTCAGTTACATATCTACTGTCGTATGTCAATGACAAGATGATAGTAGCTAAAGATAAAATGGAGGTTGGAAAGGTAAAAGCTTTGCTTAATGAAGAGTTTAAGATGAATGATTTGGGTGTAGCAAGGAAGATTATTGGTATAGAGATCTTGAGGGACTAGAAAGCTGTCATATTGTATTTGAGTCAAAAAGGGTATATTGAGAAGGTATTTTACAAGTTTAATATGTTGAATGCAAAGGCTGTCAATACTACATTAGTTGCCCAATTTAAATTACTATCTAACTTGTGTCCACAGTCAAATGAACACATTGACTACATTTATATGGTTTTTTATTCAAGTGCAGTGGGATTGCTTATGTATGCCATGGTTTTTACAAACCTAAATTTGGTACATATAGTTGGCATAACTAGTAGATACATGGAAAATCCTAGCAAGGAACATTGGTAAAACAGTGAGATAAATATTTAGATACTTGAGGTGCTCTACTAACGCTTGTTTGCATCAGAAATACAAATGAAGTCATTGGTTATGTGAATTCAAATTATACAGTGAATCTTGATAAGTGGAGATCATTCATATATGTCTTTACCATTGGAAGATACGCCATTAGTTGAAAGGCTACTTCACAGAATACATTATCACTATTTACAACAAAGGCAAAGTACATGACTATTATAGAAGTATGTAAGGAGGCTATGTGGTTAAGGGCTTTGATTGGTAAACTTAGTAAAGGCTTGTAGATTTCTACAGCTTATTGTCATAGTCAGAATGCTATCTTTCTGACATAGGATTAGATAGGACAAAGCACGTTGATATGAGCATAAAGTAATCGTTTGTAGGGAAATTATAGTGAGTAATGTTAATACCAACAAGAATCTCACTGATATGATGATAAAATAACTTCTCATTGCTAAGTTTGAGTGTTGTTTGAACATAGTTGGTATTTGTTATTGATTTAGCCCTTGGGCCTTGTGTGAAAGAGGTGGAGTAGTTGTTTGGTGATTTATGGAAGATAGTGTTATAGTTCTTTGCATTGGAATTTGGTTCAAGGTGGAAAATTATTAAAGTGTGACCCAAATTCTACTGGGTATTGGTATTTGGTTGAAGATGACATGAAGAGGTCAAATTATGGACCAAGGAGAAAGTTTCAAAGCATTCTCACTTGCTAAGTGCCTGTCTCTACCTTGACTGCTCAAAACAGGGGAGTTGGCACTCACTTGGTGCCAGCTTGCTATTCGAGCAACGGTTCAAGGCCAAGGCTGATTTCACATTTTAACGTGTTTTATAGAATTTCAATGATACTATACTCTATTTTTGGGGATTATATGCAGCACTCACGGCTTGTAAACATAACACAACACTGTTATAGTCTTAAAGAGAGTTTAGATATTGATTAACAGCATTGAGATCTCGTGTAATCAACGTTCATTATTGATTATAGTGAATGACTCATCTTCTAACTGTGGTTTCTTCAGTCTTGGATTTCCATATAATATCTTGATGTTCTTGCCTTGTTTGGTTTATTTTATTATTGCCTTTTATCTCGCACTTATTTCATAATCAAATACTATAACAAACTGATCTAGATATTGTTGAAAACCCCTATTCATTATATCCATGAATACTATGGGAGCATTAGTTACACTAAACTGCATAACTATAAACTCATAATGCCCATAGCAAGTCCTGACTGCTATTTTTAGAATGTCACATTACTTAATCTTTAATTGATGATATCCTAAACTTAAGTCAATCTTGGAAAAATACATAGCTTTCTTCAACTGATCGAACAAATCTTCAATTCTCGAAAGATGACACTTGTTTTTTATTGTGAAATGATTTAACTCCCGATAATCTATGTAAATCCTCATTGATCTATCTTTCTTCTTGAAAAACTTAATGGAGCATCGCATGGAGAAACGTTTGGCTGGATAAAACCCTCATCCAACAACTCTTGCATTTGTAGTTTCTATTTCTGCAATTCATTTGGCACCATTCTATAAAGAGTGCTGGATACTGGGCTTGCTCCCGGTACTCAATCAATTGGAAATCTAGTTCCAAAAACTTTTGCTCGTTAACCGATTACGGGTCCCGTTCATCCAACTACACTTATAAATGTACAATTACAAAGTGATCTCACCATTAAAAATGTCGGAAAAGTTCCATATATAAATCCAAAGTTTCTGTTCTAATTTCTACTAGGATTTAATTAAGTCTCTCTCTCGAAGGAAAGATCATGGGTTCGAAATCTGGGAACTCAATAGAAATTCGTGAAATTTAGGATGGGTTAGGCTCTTTCAAAGTGGACCGTATGTATGATATAAAGTCTTGAGCACAAAGGCTTGGGCCATTACAAAAAAAGCACGTTTTGTGTAACGACTCATCCTCTATGTCTAAGTATTGGTACCAAGATTTAATTTAAGTCTATATTAAGGGAAATGATATAGGTTCGAATCCTGAGAGCCTATAGAAAGTCAAGAGGGGTAAGATGGGCTTAAGCTATCCAAAAGTGAACTGTACGCAAAAGGATGAATGAAATCTGGTATTATAGTGGTAGATTGATTCACCAAATGAGTAGCATTTAGCAAAAATTACAGTGCAAAAGATCTTCGACTTCATCTGAAATTCGATCATTTGTAGGTTCGATATACCCTATTTGATCACCATAGACAAAAATAAACAATTCAATAATTCAAGGCATAGGTCTTTTGGTGACGAGTTAAAAATCAGAAAATGCTTCCCGACACTAACCATCCCAGGCCAGTGGTCAAGTAAAGTAATCAACAAAATAATTAAGAATATTTTAAAGTTCGTCTAGATGAATTGAAAGGATCATGGCCACCAAGTAAACTTTGGTTCTAAAACGCTATTTCCCTTAGCTTTTGTAGTGGTGACAATGATCTCCATCGATATAGAGACTCCTTCATTTCGATTATGTATTACATCAAAGAAATGAGACAGGAGGCTTTACAAGATAGGACAGGATCTGCTAGAAGAAAAGAAGAATAATGTCGGCCTAAAAACTGTTATATACAACTAAAAGAATGCCAGATATTTAAAGCAGAAAATGCAAGAAAGAGAATTTGAAGTTGAGGAACTTATGTTAAGACATGTGCTCCTCACCACTAGAGAACTCAACTTTAGGTCGTTAGTCCCAAACTGGGAGTGCACATATAAAATCACCAAAATCCTCACAAAAGGCTCGCACAAGCTTGAAGACATGCAAGCTAGGCCACTCATACACCCAAGGAATGTGAAACATGTTAAAAATATTATTAGTAGGAATCATGATAAAGATCATGCATGACGTTAACTGTATTCTCTCCCTTTAATGAAATATCCCTCATGTTGTATGTGATACAGCACTTAGCTAAAATTTTGAAAGGAATTCTAAAATTAAAAATAGATTTCCAAATAAGGACTGCTCATAAAGTAGTCTAGAGTTGATGTTGTACGTGCTACAAAATTCGGCTGGAATTTCAAAGGGAATTCAAAAGGGACCTTGGGCTTCAATTATTAACTACATAAATCGAAACAGAAAAGTAGAATAAGAACTAGTCATAATTAACAAAAGACAAAAGCAACTCAAGGAGAATGAAAGTAACTTCATTTCATTAAAAAGATAATAAAGAAATAAATCATAATTAAATAAAATAAAGAGTAGAATGAAATAGCAAAAATACTACAAGAAATATATACTTTTCCTACGAAAATTCCGTAGACAAATTAAAATTTGTGGGCGGAGTTCACTTTTTTCTACAAACAGACATTTCATAGGACTATGATTTGATTCAAAATTTTTAATAGTGGAAGGACTTGTGCCCACTAAAAATTATATTTTTTTCAGACGATAAAATTTGAAAGTCAAGAAGCATCTTTAGCCTACAAAAAATTTGATTTGTTTGTAAGCTAATAATTAGTGGGAAATTTTTCCAATTTAAATCACGCAAAATTTTTAAAACACGGAAAACAGCTGTTGCTTCCTATTCTTCCATCACTGTGCGTGAGAGAACCATGGAAGAAATGCCACCTTCTTCCTCAACAATCGACCACCACCCGCCACCTAGACCACCAAATCCCACTACCATTCGAACCCCCTCACCTTCCTCTTCAACCTCTTGTCATCACCAGGCCATGGAGTTGACGAAAACAGCCCCAATCAGTACCCAAAACCACGCTACCAATCACCATTTTCGCCATATTTCCACTGCCGTCAGCCACCGTTTCGATTGCAGACCACCACCACTCCCCTCCTCTCAACCAAGCGCATCCAGTACCACCATGGGTCACTTGCAATTTTGTCCAGAATCGAGAGAGCTTGTGAAAGCAGTCCGTGAGTGCTCTAATTTGTGTTTTTTTAATTTTAATTATTTAATATTATTGATTGGTTCACTGTCTGGTCTTGTCCTATAGACCCGTTTAGAAACTATATAAATCCCAGAAAATAACATAAATCTTAGCACTCAAATAAGTATCGGTTGCTTCTTGGATTCGATGCTCGTATAAAGTAACAATTTCCCTTACAAGAAAGCTGTTGTTCTAGTTGGCACCATTCATTTCTCTTTTTTTCATGTTTTCATTTCTTCTTCTTTTTTCTGGAGCTCCAAAACCAAAACTGTAATCTGGGTTTTGAATAAAAATTCATTTAGTGAAAGATCTTTTGATTATCCGATTTAAGGTGAGTTTATCAGAAACATTTGAACTCTTATTCAATTTTTGTTTTATTATACAATGTAATTATGTAAATTACAGTCTAAAAGAGTAAAGAGTCATCAGTAGAACTAGATTTTTATCAAAAAAATTACTAACTCTTTGCTGGATCTTTTACTGTATTAGTTTGTCATTGTACATGTTTAGCATTGATTGCTAGAGAAAGAATCATTTGAGACAACATACTTTGCTTCCAAGGAAAAACGGAGATGTTATCTTTTTTGGGAAAAGTTTCAATATTTTGCATTGACAATAATGGGTTCTAACATGAATATTGGTATGCAGTTGGATGGAATTGAATAATATAATTATCATTTTTTTACTATATATATGCCACATTGCTTGTATTGGTAATTTTTCAAAGGCAGATTCTTTTTTCTCCCTTAAATTTTTTTATGTTTATTTTTAATTTTTTGCATTTTTCTGTTATTTTCTTGAGTTAATAGTGAATCCATTTAAATCTGGACAGAATGATGAATGGAAGATAACAGAAATTTCTCTACATTCTTAAAGGTTGAACCCCAACCTTAAGGGCCCCCACCGACCCTGCCTTGGGCCATCGTGGAGGAGGTAAATCGCAGGATGTGCCTCCCAGGAGCCAAGGTGGAAAGCACATGGATAGGCCAAGGCTGTTAACCCATATGGTAACTCCCGCTTGCAACAAAGTCAATTCCACCTTGCGGGGAATCGAACTCTGCACACTGCCGCGCTGAGCCCTATCCGCCCTCCCCTTTGCCACTGGGAGATATGCCCTGGGGGCATAAATTTCTCTACATTCTTGTTTGTATGCTGATTGTGACAAGAACAAAAGGATTTTTGGTTGATATTACTTATGTTCAAAGTGATGCGGCAAAAGGAGCAAGTAAAACATTAAGGGTCAACATTTAGAGCAAAATTATAATTTTTTTTTTTGACGTGCATATATATATTTTTAAAAAAGATTCAATATTTATTTTTCTGCTTTGTGCTTGCAGTTTGACGGTAGTCCACCGGCATATCATTCTCTGATAGGGGATTTGGTGCAGGAATTAACAATTGGTTGGTTCATATCGAGGTTAGTCCTTTTTGCATAAGCTATTAAAAATATATATATTCTCTTATGTTTTTTCCTCCAACTTCGACTGTATTCTTACTTGCTATTGTTAACTTGAGTGTTCTTATGTAGGCCGTTCTGTCTGGATGTTCAGTCAGTGGATTAGCATCGATTTTGCATTATTATCTATATTTTGTTATAGAATGTTAAGAAGACTTCCTTCTTTTATAGGTTTATTGAAAAACTACAGCAAGACATTCCCGGTGAATTGGTTAAGAAACAGTTAGAGGGGCTATGTGTTGTCTATTACTTAATCACCTTTACAAGCACTAGGGTGATTTCATTGCTACAAGCTACATAGCTCAAAAGCAAGCTTGCTAATGATCAGCTCAGAGCCTTGTATTCTTTTACTATATTTTTTTTGAATCAAGCAATTTCTTTATTTACTCTTTTACTGGATGCCTGTAAATTGAAAATTACCTAGTTTGGATTTGGATGAACTATAAATTTTGTTATATTTGTGTTTTGGTAAAATATTTTGATTCAATATTACATTGATTGACACGTGTTTAATTAAATTATAGTCTTTGGCCTTTTTATATTATTTTGAATAAGGTTAAAAAAATATATGAAATAATTTAATTTCTCCTGACAAATTCTTTGAAAATAACCTACAAATATGTTTTCCCCACAAAATTATTTGTAAATAGGGTTTAGCCCACAAAATAATATCTGCCGTGTTGTCATAAATATTCTTTTCCCACAAAATTTATTTGTAGGAAAAAACACAAATTAGCCTACAACATAATTTGTAGGGAAAGCATAATTGTTTTGTGGGTAAAATTAACTTTAGCAGATGAATGATTTTGTCGAGGGAAAACTTACACGACAAATTGTGTCTCCCCAAAGTGTTTGTAGGGAAAAACTTTAGCCCACAAATTTAAATAATTCGTCTTATAACTTTCCCTTCGATATTTGCCCCACAAACATGCCTACAAAAATTTTTCGCCTGCAAAGATTTTTTCCTACAATATGAACCTTTCCCTACAAATTTTGTTTGTAGGGAAAGCATAACTTTCTTGTAGTAGGTAAGTGGAAAATATCCTTGAGCAGGGACAATGACATCGGGGTAAGGTTCGATGTTTGGAGCAGGCTCATCAGAGGTCGCAGTTGGCATTTATGCCAAAATTTTCTTGAAGTTAGCTAATGCTTCATGGAGGAAATCAAAGTTAAAACCCTGAATTATTTCTATATGCTTGAACACCTCCATCATACCAATTACACAAGCATCTTAGGCCAAATCATCAAATGTTGGAGACTTTCTTCCGCTCTTCGACCATCCTAGCTGCTCGAGCACTTCTTTATCAAGTCATTTTTTTTCTTTGAAGCCTTCTTTTTTTCCGACTTAGCATAGGCATTGGCCTTCTCCCCCAGATCTTTGTAGCCTCAAGTTTTAGCTTGAGGTTTACTTCAGAACATTCCTTGCTAGCCAAGGTTTTTTTCAACTCCTTTCTTCTCTTGACCCGTATCTTACTATCGATCGTATGATTAGCTTGCTTAGCTTTAACAGCTAGCTGCATGGCTAGAGTCTTGTCCCTCAGCTTCATCACCTTCTCTAACTCCGATTTAGCTGTAACAAGCATTGAATCAGTAAAAAAAGATATAAGTCAAGGAATGGTCGAGTGAAGAAAGAATACCTTTTTGGAAAATGTCATTGTATATAGAATGGATCTGTGATTCAGCACCTTAGCATTAATGCAAGCTTCACGGGCACTCATTTGGTCTAAGAAAGACTGCTTCTTCTCATCCAGCTCTTCATCACTAAAATGGTAGAATTACTCTGTAGAAGTAGAGACAAATTTTGATTTTAATTCTTAAAGATAAGGTCAAAAAATGACAAAGATGAAAGAAAAGTTTTTCACTTCCTCAGAGAATAAGTCGTGGTTATCAAATTATTCTTAGCTACTAAGAAGAAATTTGAACAAGAAAATCTACCAAGTCAAGCAAGGAAAGAAAGCCTATTGTTGATCAAGTTCATGTTTGATTATTCAACTTCTAAAGGAGAAATTCAAGTTTTTTTTTTTTTTTCAAATGATAAACCACCTTATAAAATCTATAAAAAGGTCTTAGGATATGTTCATTATATTTGTGTGTTCAATGATTGAGTGCCAAAAAGAATTGAGCACTAAGTGAGGATTTAAGGAAGATAGAATTTGTTATTAAGATAGATAGAGAGTTTGAAATGCAGTGTAACTCCTCTCTGAAACTTATCTTGTAATCCTTTGTTCTTTTTTTATAGTAAAGCCACATTATTTCTTGAGTGAGATTTTTGTCCGAGTTTTTCTTTAACCTAGGCAATCTTCCTTAACAGTTGGTATCAAAGCTATTATAGCAAAATTGGTAGAGCTTTTGAACCTATCAATATGGTTGTGTTCAATAGTAACTGAATAGCAACAATATCAACGATGGCGAAAGACAGAAAGTTAAAATCAAAAAATTCAATAGATCAGACTTTGGATTGTCGACAATGTACATAGAAGATTATCTCTACCAGAAGGATCTTTACCTTCCTCTAAGAAGCTTGGGGATATTAAAAATGTAGAGTAAGAAAAGCCTTGGGTTAGATAAGGCTGACTTTTGCTGCATCTATTGCTTTCAATATCAAAAATGAAAAGACAACCAAAAGTTTGATGGCAGCTTTATCATATGTATATGAAAACCCTCTGTAACAAATAAAGGATGTCCACTGAAGGAGTTGCAATGGAGCATATCAATGATTTTAATGGATTTATAAGTCAATTGGAATAATTTGATTTCTCATTTGACGATGAGGTCAAAACATTGACACTATCATCAAGCTTTCCAGAGAGCTGGAATCCTTCGATTATGGTAGTAAGCAATTCCACTAGGCCAGCAAATTTGAAACAAAATCATGTTGTAGATTTGGCACTTAGTGATGATGCATGCAGAAAAGATGGTAGAGAAACCTAGGGTTCAGCATTGGCAACTAATGATAGAGGTAAGAAGCCAAACACAAGTGGCAACCACAGGTGAAACACAAGTCGATCGAGAAATGGTCAATCATTATCTTGACCAAAGTTCAAAGGCAAGTGTTGGAACTACGGAAAATGTTGTCACACAAAATAAGATTGTAGAGCACTAAAGAAGCAAGAAAACAATGAAGGAGACAAAAACTTTGTTAGTGTTTCGGATGTTGAAAATTCTGATGCATTGTTGTTAGCTGTGGATGCTCATGAAGAAAACATGGGTAATTGATTCGGGTGCCTCTTTCAAGCTATTTCCGGCAAGGAGCTGCTCTAGGCAACCTCACTAAAGTGTATCTTGGAAATGATGAGATTTACAACATAGTTGGCAAAGGGGATGTTCAGATATATCAACCGTCCTAAGAATCAAGGATGTCAGACGTGCCATGTTTGCAAAAGAATCTAATTTCCATAGGTCAATTATTGACTTTGGAATTACAACCACATTTGTTGGTAACACTTGGAAAATGACCAAAGGAGCTATGGTAGTAGCTCATGGCAAAAAGGAAGGTACTCTCTATGTTCTTTCTAGAAGTCATAATTCCATTAACTTCACATTATCGGAAATCGAGGCGGGCATATGGCACCTTAGACTAGGACATTTGAGAGAAAAATGGATGAAAATTTTGATGTTTAAAATGGAAATTACCATGTTTGAAGTCTCTAGACTTGGATTTCTGTGAAAATTGCATCTTCGAAAATCAGAATAGGTCTAGTTTCACAAAATTTCAAAGAACAAGCAAGTTAGAATGGTTGGAGTTGGTGCATATAGACATATGGGTACCATCTTAGGTAGCATCACTTGGTGGCTCTTGCTACTTTGTTATTTTTATTGATGATGCTACTAAGAAGCTATGGGTTTACTTTATGAATAACAAATTTATTTTGTTTGATGTTATCAAAAAATGGAAAGTACGAATTGAGAATGAAATGGGTTTTGAAAGTTGAGATGTCACGAGTCATACAATGGAGGAGAGTACGTAGATAGTCCAACGAAAAAATATTGTGCAAAAAATTGAATTCGACAAATGCTGACAATTCTAGAAAAATCACTACAAAATGGCATTACAAAATGCATTAACAGAACTGGGAATGTGCTAGAAGTATGAGGATTAGTTCTGGTTTACCAAAGCAATTTTGGGTAGATGCAGTAAACACAGTTGCTTACCTAATCAATAAACGTCCATCATTTTCCTTGAATTGCTCCTTGAGCTTATGTGCAGGATTTTTCATATGATTCCACATTGTATTGATTGTCCTCATTAAATAATTACTTCTTATAAGAGATTGCCTGATTTTTCTGAAGTACTTCCTATACATAATAATCATACCTATCTCAGGTCGCAGTCCTTACTCGAACCTCTTAGCCTTTTTACCTCAATATCTACCAAATGAGGTGCATACCGAGAAAACTCCCCAAACCTTCGTTCATAATCCGTCAGGGACATATTCCCCAGCTAGTGTTGTAGAAATTCAATCTCCTTAAACTCTTAGAGCTCAAGGAAAATACTTTTCCACTCATATTTAAGTTGTTCCCACGTTAGATTCTGTTTCTGCTCTTCGGCCGTAGATCTTGAGGCAAACTCCCACCAATGGCTAGCATCTCCAATGAGCATAAATTTAGTACATTGAACCTTTTGTACATCATTGCAAGCGACATGCCTAAAGATACCTTCAAAGCCGCTAATCCATTCTTCAACTACCAATGGATTTAAAGTACTATCAAATTTAGGAGACCTATACCTACAAAATTGCATGACCGTTGAGGTAGCTCCTTCGCCAATTTGAGGATTATTTGGAGTTGGCGTGTTGGCTTGTCTTCCAAGATCTTTCACATCTCTTACCAGATCCCGCATCAGATTGGCTTTGTTTGGTCTTGTCATTTTCTTTAGATAAATTAAAACAATTATTCGTCAATGTTTATCTATCAAACACAAACTCATCACAAGTGAAATGGAAAGCTTCATTTCATTAATATAACTTTAATCGTTTTAAAGGAGTACATCATGAAATTAAAAAAAAAAAATTTGACTAAATAAAGTAACTATCTCTAACTTCAATCAAATCTAAATTCCACTAGCTCTGCCCCCAGGGCATATCTCCCAGTGGCAAAGGGGAGGGCGGATAGGGCTCAGCGCGGCAGTGTACAGAGTTCGATTCCCCGCAAGGTGGAATTGGCTTTGTTGCAAGCGGGAGTTACCATATGGGTTAATAGCCTTGGCTTATCCATGTGCTCTCCACCCTGGCTCCTGGGAGGCACATCCTGCGATTTACCTCCTCCACGATGGCCCAGGGCAGGGTCGGTGGGGGCCCTTAAGGTTGGGGTTCAACCTTTTAAATTCCACTAGCTCTATCATTGTCCTCATTTTGAGACTGCAAATCTTCAAACGTTATTTCCTCAATTATAACTGAAACATCACTATCGTAGTTTAGTTGATGGGTTCTAAATTATGCTCTCCACATTTAGCTCAACCTCTTTATGATTACTTGAATTGGAACCTTTTCTATATCCTTTGCAAA